TCTCCAATAATAGGTTTCAGCGCCAGTGCTTTTCCTTTCCCTGGTGTGGCCCTCAACCTGTCTAGGGACTGTCGTATTTACCAGGTATTTGCTCCTGATTTTCATAGCAGATGACTACTTCTTCCTGTACTTCTAACCTGCCCTCTCTGTTTAATCCTCATGCAAATTTTGCACAAGTGTTCTCAGCAAATTCCATATCCACTATCCATGGAGAAACTCTGTAATTTTAACAAAGGAGGGAGACTGGGACAGGCTAGGGTATCTGAACCAGGTACTGTTTGGACCCAAGATATGGACTCAGGAGCTTGGAATGAAGCAAATGTCCAAGGTTTTTCCACACCTTACGTATGGATCTATTTTCAGCCTCAAACTAAAAACCAAGCCTGTAGGAAAATAAAATTATCCAATGCATACAGAAAAAAGATATTAAATGTCAGCAACCTTGTGCAAAGGAGTCAAATGGAAAGAAAAGCAGCAATGAACTCAAACATAATGAGATTTCTTTCCCAAAACCTCAGAAAAATGGGCAATTCCAAGTCTGAAAATATCCCCAAGCTTAAGGATGATATCGAGTCTAGAACGGAAACCCTACAGATCAATCTCTAGTGAAAAATACAAGGGGATTTAATTCTGGAAGGTCACAATGAATTGCTGTCCACTTCTACTGAGATATCTGTCTTTTAACACCTTGGTATTTAGCGGAGAGCAGTCTCTCTTCACTCATATTGAAGTGGACGTGACCCCTGGACAAATCATGGACATTGACCAATGATGGAAAATTGTCATTTTATTCAGCTGACTGCCTGGGGCTGGCTAAATTAGGGAGTGAGCAGCCCCAAAATCAAATAGCTCAGGATTTATAAAAGTGGTTTACAGGGGGATTTTGCAAGCAAGCTTTTTTACAGAAGCTAATATGCAGTTAGTTTTACCCTAGTCAAAGGTTTACAGTCATTTAGTCATATCCTGTTTTCTCAGCTGCAAGCTATAAATCATTATGAAAACAGAACTTAATGGGGAGGGGAACGGGAATAACAAAATATTGAAACAAGGACACAGGATGACCCATTGCAACAACGGTACCTACAAAACAGTAAACTGGAAATGAACTATCTTTGACAGGGGACAAAGGTGGGAGGTGGGTGGTGGGAAGTGAGGGAGGTGGGGAGGTTAGGGATAGTGGGAGAAAAACAAAAGAGGGAATAACAATTCTCCACAAGAAATGTACTCATTAACTTACTCATGTACCTGTATCCCCTCTGTACAGAATCTTTACAATAAAAATTAATAACAAACAAAAGAAAGCCACGGTTTAAAAGTTATGTGATGGTAAAGATTTTAAATAAAGTTCCTCTGTAGCAGTTTCACAAGTCTGTCAATTTGTTCCTCTGAGTTTAATATTAACTACTGCAGCTCAGTTTTTTGCTATTGGGGACTTTCCGGTCAAGTTTGTAGATGACCATAGAATGAGATAGTTTTATTAACCCATAAGTTCCCCATTTCAATATTAGACTTGTAATAATAAGACATTGAAGACACAGTTATAGAAAATATATCTCCTGATCTTACAGGTCACTCCTACATGTTTGTCTGTGTATCTTTTCTGTTTATCTTTTTTATCCTCCACTATCATTTCTAATGTGTACTTGATTGTGCCTAGTTTAATGTTAAAATATATTTGAATATTTTTGAATATATTGAATAATTTGTTAGGGTGCTTATATAGACACATTGTCATAGAATGCAGCTGATGGATATTTCTTAGTTACTTACACATATGAAGAGGTATTGGCAATAGTCAGGGAAGTCTGTTCTTAATATCCTATAATACAGTTTAGTAAAATGTTATGCATGGGATAGGTTAAAGATCATAATATTTTATCCATGAAATCTGTACTGCAATTAGATGTCAGTGATTAAGAGAATTTGACTCAACTATAAAAATCATACATATTATTGAAATTATTTTTTGCAATTTAGTACTTATGTCTTGGAAGCTGGTTATTTTATTTCCTGAATATCATGTACTTTGATCAGAGTCACTCAATCTATTTATTACCATTTATTATGCCTGTTTCAAAATTCTTTTCTTGTGCCTATGTCTTTAATTTCCTATTGTATTTTTTTCTCATACACTTACAGGAGAAATTATGGTTCATGTATATCCATGCTACTAGCCTAATTTGATTAACTATGATCTCAATCTTTATTGTTGAAGAAGTTCAACTTTATATGTGTTTGTGTTTATGCATACATGTGTGTATCTATCTATATGTACATCTGTCTCTTTTTTTTGTCGGTTACGGGGCCTGAACTCTGGGCCTAGGCCCTGTCCCCCAGCTCTTCAGCTGTAGACCAGAGCTCTACCACCTGAGCCTACTTCCGGCTTTTTCTGCTTATGTGGTGCTGAGGAATCGAACCAAGGGCCTCATGTATGCAAGGCAAGCACTGTACCACTGAGCCACCTTCCCAGCCCCTCTATATCTATCTCTATATCTATTTTTATATCTGTATCCCTATTCCTTATCTTTTCATTTGTTGTTGGGTATCTAGGCTGATTCTATAAATTGTTTATTGTTTGTGTATTATGACAAACACCTGAGCTTGACATTGGTTTGTGTCTAGACCCTTAAAAAGACAAAACTATATACTTTAAAAAGTTGCACTATTAGCCAGATATCGGTGGCTCATTGTAATCCTAGTTACTCAAGAGACTGAGATCTGAGGATTGCTCAAAGCCAGCCTGGGCAAGAAAGTCCGTGAGACTCTTATCTCCAATAAACCACTAGAAAACTGGAAGTGGCCCTGTGGCTCAATTGGTAGAGTGCTCACCTTGAGCTGAAGAGCACACGAACAGTGCCCAAGCTCAGAGGTCAAGCCCCATGACCAACCAAAAATACTGCAGTATAATGGTAAAATGTGACAAATTGTTCTATTAAGAGACTGAATTTGTAAACAAAACTTTAGTAGTTCAGAAAAGAAGAGCAAGAATTGCCAAATGGAATTACATCATTTTACAAACCTTTGGCACAACAAAGTAAAGCAGTACACAGACTATTGATGATCTGCAGAAATTGCCAGTAATATATCTGGCAAGTGATTCATAACCAGAACATACAGGAAGCTCAGAAACTAAACTCCTAAAGAATCAACAAGCCAATTAGCAAACTGGCCAATGAACTTAAAGATACTACTCAAAGCAAGAAGAACATATAGCAAAGAAACATCCTTGGCCAAAAAAATGCAATGCCAGGTGACATTGAATTTTATATCATCCCAGTCAGAAGGTCATTATTAAGATCACAACAAATTCTGGTGAAAATTCCCACTATGCATTGGAATGTATTTTCAAGCAACCACTATGGGAAATCAGTATGCAGATTCCCCAAGAAACTACAGATTTATACAGTAATGATTTTCTTAAGACACTATGCTGAAAATGAACTACACAGCTTATGATCTGGAATGGGATGGAAAAACTGGGAGACAGTGAAGGAAGGGGTACTAATATTCTAAAAGAAATGCACTGTTTACTTAATTTATATAGCTGTAGCCCCTCTGTACATTGCCTTTATAATAAAAGTAAGAAATTTAAAAAAGACTATAAATTTATGATATGATCCAGTGCTATGATCTTGTGAGGCTGATTGGAAATAATTGTATTTACATATGAACATGTCTAAAGACCTCTGTATAACTAACATACACTACTAAAATTTTAAGAAGGGATAAATCCTACATATTGCAAATGTACACGTATACAAATATATATAAATGTATAAGAAATCAATTTTTCTAATTATTCCATTTTACTTTTAAGAGCCATATGAGAGTTAAAATATATTTTGTTTAGTCCTTAATGCATTGTGTGACTACTATTTAGTGAAGCCATGTTCAAGTGTGTCCAACACCACAGACTTGTACACAGTGTGTTTACTGCCCTGAAATATCTCTGTTCTCCAGCACCACGGATGTCTGCATAAGATTTGGTTCTAATATATGTTTCTCCGTATAATATACAGAGTTGGTTTTGATATGGATTTAGGTTTGTGAAAAACAGAGAAGGACTTCCTCCATACCTGTACATGTACCTCTTCAGAGAAAACCATAAATAGAGAAATACAATGTTTTGGATCTATCAGTGCATCATGAAAATGTCTTGATTCATGTTAGCAAGTTCACTTCAAATTGCCTCTTTGAAAGTCCACATTCAAAATGCAAAGGTGCAACTCAACTTTTTCATTGACATTGAGTTACTGACATGTTATTGATGGTTTCATCAGTATGATTTATTCCACAGGTGCAGTGTGGAGGTTTCTACATATGGACTAGTTATTGAATCCTGTCTAGATCAACCAGCAGTGGTGTGTGGCTATTATGGACAATGGTTATGTGAAGCTTCCTCTGTGTTTGATGCACTAACTTTGGTTGATTGACATCTTACTGGTTGGACTTTTCTGGCCATCTCATCATGCACCTGACATGGCATCTTCTGATACAATCCAGTTCCAGCATCCCAAATGAGTTTTGTGCACAAAATTTCTTGACACAGATGTGGGACCATATGTGTCAAGGAGAACTTCATCCCTGGGGCCTCACTATCTGTGGTCTTAGATGAAATCATAGCACCTGGGTTGGAGAACAGGATCTGCAAACATATTTTCCATCTTGTGTTTTTCTCCTGGATTCAGGGCCTCAGATGCAGAGCCCCAGGCTGAGGGTTTTACACATCTCTCCTGGGCCCTTGTCAAGGATGTGATGAAAAAAGGTAGGTTAGAGTGTCTAACTCTGTCCATAAAGACCCATATGAACATATGCACACAAACAGAAGATACATGTATATACATATCTGACATGGTAGTCTCCACTTGCAGTGAGAATTCCAGCTTGGAGATGCTTCAGTGATGTTTCCTTTGGCTTTTCTAATCATTTTCCAGCTTCCTCCATTGGTCAGTGTCTTGGGTGGAGCCAACTGTTTTTCTAGAATGAAACAGAGAGCACATATGGATGGAGATGTGGTGATTGCTGGGTTTTTCCCTCTTTACACTTTGGGAAGAGACCATAGTGTCAGTGATACTTCTAAGCAAGAAGAGAACACACAGTAAGTACCTCATTGTTTGATTTCCATTTACTGTTTTTTCTAGGATGGTCAATGGCTTAGGGAACTGTGGGTGTACACCTCAGTATTCTCTGTATCATGTACCCTGAGCACTACTGCACTAGAAATATATTATTTAGATGATCATTATTGTTGCCATCGTCATGTTTTTAAATAGTTTTACAAGGAAGTTGCTGTTTATGAACATATCTTGCTTGATGTCATCCCTTTCATCATTTTCACTCATTCCTCCCCTCTAAAATCTTTCCCTTACTCTTCTTAATTTTGCATAATATATCTTGGATCCTTAGCCTCTATCACTTTCTTTCACCAGTTTTCAAATGCTGGTATGCAGAGTAGCCAGATGTAGCTGCACACACTTGGAGGCACACATGGCACGACTAAGAATTACTCTCTTCCCCACCCGAGGAAATCTGAACTATTGAAGGATCTGAACCTTGCTTCTTCCTGTCACTCCTAGATACTTGCTTTTCTTAAACTCCAGTATTTTTCTATTTTCACTTGACTTTCCTTTTCCTGATGTTCCTAATTATATTAGAATGATTTCATTACTGCTCTTCTATAAACACATTAGATCTTATGGTTCCAGTTGCTGGATGGTTTTTAGGTATTTGAAGATACAAAGAGTTGTTGGTAATCAGGAAGTAAAATGTATGGATGTTGCAGGTTAAAGATAGTAATAAGTCATCTAAGAAGTTTGCCATAAATGGACCACTGCAATTAAGTGTCAGAGGGTGAAAATTATGACTCAACTCTACACTCACAGATGTGATGGTAATGATTTTCAGTTGTTATTACAGTTACTTGTGTTGTGCAAGCTAGTTCATTACTGTTTATTGATATTGCATGTCTCATAGTTTGATTATAGTCACCCCCTCTACTTACAATGATTTATTATGCATCCTTCCACATCCTGTTTACCTTCATATATCTCTAATTTTCTCTCCATTTTCACTTGTTGTTCTTCTACATTACATATAGGAAAGAAAATATGGTACTTGTACTCATGATACTTGCTTAATTTAGTTAAAAAGATTAGCACAATTTCCATGTATTTTCTTACAATTGTGATTTCATCCTATGGTTCAAGAAAACTCATTTCTATTTAATCTATAACACTTGGGCACCCAGGGTGATTCCATAGTTGGATATTGTTGGTCAACAATAACAAACATGTATACAAATGCATCTGTGTACAAATTTGAGATTGACATTTTGGGCTATACATCCACATGTGGTATTGTATCAAATGTCCACTGTATTCAATTTCCTGATGAACCTTTATTATTTATCACTTATTGTCCCAAATCAATCTCCATAAGTTTCAATACTTCAGTTTACACACATGTGCCTATTTTGTCAATCTCCACCATCCTTCCTTCATCCTTTTGGTTGAATTGGTGCTCTTCTCAGTGAGCAGTCATCTCAGAAGCTTTCAATACTCATTATTATTCAAGGAAGAGTAATCAGACGAGTATCAACATCACCAAGTTAAGCAATAAAAGAAATGTTAGGGCTGGGATGGTGGCTCAGTGATAGAGTGTTTGCCTTGCGTGCATGAGGCCCTGAGTTCGATTCCTCAGCACCACATAAGCAGAAAAAAAAGTAGTAGTGCACTAGCCTTGAGCTGAAAAGCTGAGGGACAGCAGCCAGGCCCAGAGTCCAGGCCCATGACCGACTAGAATATTACTATGCTAAATTATGACTTCACAATTCAGCAAAGGAGAAAATGTTAAACAACAAAAATAAAGGCTATGGAAAAGATAAAAAGAAGAGCATGTAATGTAGGAAACAGCCAAAAGGGCTCATGGTGTAATCATGGCTGTTGTAATCTACAAAAATGGACAACTTTCAAAGTGAAAGTTCTTCATATGGTTTCCCTTTAGGATATGTTTAGTTCAACAGTGGAAATGTAATTTACCTGGGAAAATTTATTACGTGTTCCTAAATGGTACACATTTACTCTCCCTTCCTCATCTGGAAGAGGCACAATGATGTCATTAAGCTACCAAGCATCTCTTTTGGATGGTGGTGAATTTCCTAATAACCATTATGGTAAAGCTAGGGCCAGAGGTAAAGAAAAGGTCAACTATCATAGAGTCCAGGGTCATATAATTTCATAGCTAAAAGGTGTGATTGAAATCCAGGTCCTCTAGCTAATGACCTCACTGCTGTCCAACTTGTAGTTCCTGATGCTCACAGGTCAAGAGAAAAACTCAAAAGAGATGGAAAATGGTAGAAAGGGATCTTTAGCCTTCTTCATCAGGGATGTGATCTTCCTATAAGAAACACAGATGGAGTCAAGTGCTGGCGGCTCATGCCTGTAATCCTAGCTACTCAGGAGGCTGAGTTGTGAGGATCATGGTTCAAAGGTACCAAGGACAGGAAAGTCCATGATATTCCTATCTCCAATAAAATACTGCCCCCCAAAAGCCAAATTGTGGCTCAAGTAGTAGAGCCTTGAGCAAAAGAAGTTCAGGGACATAGCCCTTATTTCAAGAATAAGGATCAGTAGCAGGAAGAGAGGAATAATTAAAGAAAGACAGAAAAAAGAGAGAAATAGTGAAAGAAGAAAGGAAGAGAGAAAGACGTAGAAAAAGAAAGAAGAAAACAGAAAGCAAGAAAACAAGGAATTAAGCAAGGAAGGTAGAGACAGAAAGAAAACTCCTCACTTCTTCTTAACTTGATTATCCAGTTTGCTGCTCTGATCCTGAGTTTATGACATTAAAACAATATCCTGAGATTCTACTGCCCTGTATATGCTATCTTAAGATTTTTATATACATTTTTATGTAGTCTTTATAACAACTTGCCAGTTACATCTTTGATTCAATTTTACTAATGAATACACAGCTCAAAAAGAACAAGTAATTTGCTCAAGTGAAGAAACCCCATAGGCAGTACTACTGGGCAAAGTTGAAGAGACAGAAGTCTATGATTTGTGTATTGTGTTTTCCTCTTACAAAGATACTTTAAGTATCTTTAAAGTATCTTACCAAGTATCTTACAAAGATACTTTAAGTATCTCACCATTCTCTCTCTCTCTCTCTAGAACACTTGTCTATAACATTTTCACTTCTTTCTCTGGGATCAATTTCTCTGAAGTGAAATCAACTTATCCTGGGAATCAGTTTGCCTCCTATGTGGGCCAAAGGAAGGTTGTAGGTAGCCATTGACTGTAAACTCTAATTGACTACAGCATCCCAGGAGATACTCAATTGTGAACATCCACAAAAAGAAAATGGCCTTTATATGGCTGCCAACAATGTCTATGGGATCCAGTGTTTGCTACCTTTACTTGAAACAACAAAATGATGAATCCTTTTCTTTAAATGAAACGGACCATAGTCACATACTTCTCTTGTTGCTCTTTCCTGTCCCTCTTGCTTAGGGACATGCTTTCTCTCTTGAATGGAGAGGTTCAAAGGGGGCCTCTTCAACTCTGACACTATTGATATATGGAGCAGGAAAATTCTTTGGGGAGTCAGAAAGAGGTCATCCGTACTGTATTGTTAGAAACTACTAGTTTCCAGAAGCCATGCCACTTTCCTAACCATGAAATCAACACTGAACTCAGTTAATAACCCCTGGTCTCACTGGACATGGGTGGTTCATGTCTATATCCTTAGCTACTCAGAAGGTTGAGATCTGAGGATCCTATTTCAAAACAAGCCCAGGCAGGAAAGTCTGTGAGGCTATTATCTTCAGTTTTGATCACCCCAAAGCCAGAAGTGGAGATGTGGCTCAAGTGGTAGCATGCTAGCTTTGAGTGAAAAAGCTAAGGAACATTTACCAGGCCCTGAGTTTAAGACCCACTACTGGCACAAAAGAAAAAAAGAAAAATAAAGCTTTATCTTGGTCAAGCTTAGCTAGAAAGACTGTGGGGGGAATAAACATGGTATCACTGTGCACTCTTGAAGTTATTTAGTGGAAACTGCCATCTTTGCTCCTCCCACATAATTCTCCATGTGTTCTCTCAGAAGAATAAAACATTTCTAGAGAATTTTTGAAGAAATGGCAATTGACATGAAAAAATTAAAGTACTCTTAGATGCAAAGAGTCCATTTTTTAAAAGAGTGGGCTTGTATGTTTATATGTCTGTTTAAATTAATCTTAACAGAATAATTTATAGAACTGAGAAAATAGCATTTTGCATTTCTACTTATAGGCTATTGTTGATGTAAATAAATCAGAAAATAAAACTTACAGATGGGCAGATTAGCTTCTTTTCTCAAAAATTGTACTTAGTACCAATACACAAGTCATGGCTATTTTTGTAAGAAAAATGAGAAATGAACTATCTGTAGATACTACATTTCTGTTTGAGTTTTGAGAACCTTTTAATTCTACAGAGTTTTACTTTATTCCTAAATTGGAATAAAGTTAAAATATGAAGAATAGCTGTCTACCGTTGCAATATTAATATCATTTTAGGTATGTTTGATTTTGTCACCCTTTAAAAATTAAATTCTGGCTAGAGTCAGTTATGCAAAAAGTTTGAAAGTAACATCTTTCTTTGGCTATCAGATTTGTCTGTGACAAATCTAAGCAAATGTCTCCATCAATAAGAGTAAAATTTGAAGTAATGGAATACATAAACCAGAGGGGTCATTTCATATTCTTTAAATTTCAAGTGTTTGTGGCTCACACATGTAATCATAGCTACTCAGAAGGCTGAAATCTGGTGACTGCAGTGCAAAACTTCCCAGGCAGGAAACTCTGTGAGACTCTTATCTCCAATTAACCAGCAAAAAGCTGGAAGTGAACCTATGACTCAAGTGGTGGAGTACTGACCTTTAGCAAAAAAGGTCAGGAACAGCACACAGGCCCTGAGTTCAAGCCTCAGGACCAGTAATAAACAAACGAAAGTATAGGTACACTATTGTAATATTTTGAAATTATCAGATGAAGGCAACATATGAGAATATAAATATGCATGTACCTATGGATTGCCAGTCTGTTCTCTGATGCTAGAACAGAAC